GAAACAACGTCAGGTCCCGTCCTTCCTTTTATTGCTTCGTGCCACATCACGCAAAAATTGGTGCCATTTTTTCTTAAATTGGCAAACGTTTCGTTGAAACATACCAAACGACTGACAAAGCATGCGTTTTTTGTTGTCATTTTTGGTATAATCAGTACCTTTTGCATATCAACTGCAAATAATTCAGTTGTGTTTTCCCAAGTTTTAGTAACATCATCTTCGTAGGATTTTCTTGCGGCTGTGTATTTTTGTTTGTGGGCATGGTATTGCGCACATACTTCACAATCTTGTGGATGGTCAGCTGCTTTTTCTGTTTCTGCGTTTGAGTGACTATCATTTAGGTTACGGATGTGTGAACTGTATTAAACAACTCGGGCATTCATCTTGGGAAGGCTTAGAAAACCCAATATTCTCTTTCTCAAACACTTTTCTGTAGTTCTCGTAAGATATTGATTTAATTTTAGATTTAAAATCTTCCCATAACTTATAAATCGATATGTCGCTTGGCAAATATCTTCTATTTGGCGCGTGCGATAAATTGTAGTGGGACTGAGTAGGATGAAATGACTCAATATGACTTTTAATTTGTGAATAATTGGCCGCGGATACCTGTTTCACTATTTTCGCTCTCGCACTCCCTCTTTTATCTTTTACTTCTGGGAACGATTCATCTACATTATTCAAATATCCAGTAATAACTGCGTCACATGTCTGCCCAATCGTGTGCAAAAACATAGTTTTGCAAACTTGCATTTTATTACTGCTGCTGGAATTTGAAATTAGATCATTTGCTTCTTGTTTGTCAATTGTTTCGGCCGTTGTTACCGGCAGGGTGTATTTTATAGAAGCACTTTTATGTGAAACTGCATCGCTCCTATAACATTTTACATTACGCTTTTCTAAAAAGTTGACAAGAAATAACCGTTTTTCTCCAAAGCTAAGATTATTATAGTATTCAAATATTATATTTCGATGTTCGTTATTGATTTTCTCCGAACATTTCTGTCTACATGTTTCCTTACACGGTGCTAGTAATTTTTTCCTCCTGATTTGATTTCCATTCACTTTCTTATTAGTAATACTAACTTGTGGGTTATCTACATTTGAATTGTGTAATATCTGATTGTCGTATGGCATACTTGCTGTACTTTCAGTGAGCAACATGGGATAAATTATTTCTGCCGGAGTTTCTACTGTATTAACACTGTCTACATTATTCCGATGAGGTATACCGGCAGGTAGTAGATTCTCAGGATTGCTGCAAAGAATTTTCCGGACATCTGAATACTCGACAGACTCTGTACGACCTGATCCAAACTCCCAATTTCCAAAAGTAGGGACAACGTCTCCTCTTTCAAAGTTGCGATGTAATTTCTTCATCATTGAACCGATATCTTTATACTGAAGATCCTTCGCAGTAAAGAACTTAACGGTCTTATTTTCTTTATCAGCTTCAGGGTCATAGACGGGATCTTTATCGGAATCGTCTTCCGGTGAAGGAGTCGGGAGGGGGGTTTTCCTAGAGAAGATATTAATCATTCATTATAAATAATCCACGGATATTCAGCTACAAAATAAAATTATATTGCAAACTTTTAGTTACCTACCTTAGTAATACTTCATGTCGAGCCCTTTGTAAAATTAGAACACTTCGCCTGGACGCCATTGCACTACTAGCGGTATCCATATTTTTCAACACAAACTTCTTTAACGAACGGCCGAACCAAACTGACTTAAGTTCTACGCTTTCAGCTACCACCACCACCAGCTTGAACCAGTTGAACTGGTAGTACGGGAGTAAATTTTGAAATTGCAAGTCGACTTGCTTGTTTGTTGTGTGGTAATTAAGTACAAATATTTAGTTCATAGAATTACAAATATTTAGGTTTTGGGCATGTCGACTTACTTCGTTTTTGGATTGTAAAAGTAACATACTTGATTTTAACTTGGTAAATTTAACATATTATAATGTAGAGTAAAAAACACGCCGAAAAGTAAGTAGTTATACAATGTCGGGGTTTTAACGTATTACAATTTTAAAAGCACTGGTAGGTAGATCTTTTTGCGCTGAATCGAATGGTAATAATAGCTCAATTTTAAAGGATGTCGACTTACTTGGTTATTACTTTGTACGGGAGAGTGTTTTTAATAATTTGCATGCTCTTGTCAAGAAAATTCTGATTCTCTGGATTAAATTCTTTCAAAGGTTCTCTAACGGGCGTAGAAACCCTTTTCTCATCTTTTGAAACTTCGCCTCGAATGTTCCTTTTAGCTTCTAAAACTTTTAAGGTGGGTTTATGCAAAAAATTTAAGAATTAATTTAAAATTAAAAAAGTTAATTAATTAATTGTGTGGTTTATGCCACATTTAATTTATTTTAAATTTAAATTAAAAAATTAAAAGTTAACCAACTTTCAACTATTAAATTAAATGGTACGTGAAAACGCAAATGCGCATGCGGTAAATTTATTGATTTTTCCTAACAGCTGATTGAAATTACTTGGTCACGTCGAACACGTGCGTTGCGGGCGCCATTACTTGTTTACTGCTTGTTTACGTAAGATACACACGCGAAATGGATGATATCATTTTAATAAATTTGGTAGAAAAATACAATTTTCTGTATGATAGGAGACATACAGATTTTAAAAACAAATCGATGAGGGCCAATGCTTGGTCCACAATTGGTTCTATTTTAAACACATCTGGTAAGTTTTGGGTTTAGATTTGATTTATTATACATTATAATTAGATAATTACAGCTGGTGAGGCTGAACAGAGGTTCGCTGTTCTACGCAACAGGTACACTGTTGAAAAAAAGAAGATGAAAGCAAATAGATCCGGTGATGCAGGAGGAATTGAGAAGAAATGGCCCTTATTTGATATATTAAGTTTCCTGGACACGTTTATTATACCAAGAAGGTTAGTACACCTCACTGCTTTTCCTTTATGTACTGTAATATAATTTTTACAGAACTACAGGCAACATCTCAACCTGCTCAGCAAAGCAGGACCAAGAAACTCCAATTTTGGAGATGCCGAATTCCCCAGAATGGGATACCTTCACGCAAATAACACAAACTGAAGATCAACAACCTGCTAACACTCCTGCAGATTCGGAAATAGACGAGCCACCCAACAGTCCAGTAACCACTCGAGTAACCATTACACCTCCAATTACAAGACGGCCAAAACAGGAAAAAACGAAAAATAATTCTGTCCAAAATATGCAATTAGCCATTTCAAATGCCTTTTCGGCTTTTAACACGGCAATCCAACAACCCCCACCGAACGAGCCACAAGCCATGGATGAAGACGACCATTTCGCCTACAACATTGCAGCCTCCTTACGCCGGATAACCTCTAACAAAATAAAAGCACAGGCAAAAATAGACTTGCTGCAAGTAATGCAAAAATATGCTGATTAATGTTCATATATACTTCTTTTTAATTTATTTTTGTAATATGATTATTGTAATAGTTAGGTTAACAAAATATAATACAAACTAACAATAATATAACATTTTTATATTCAATGCGGTAAGCTGCCTGCATATATTTGTTGGATTTGCCATGGTACACTTCCAGCATCGGACACAAAATAATCCGCTAGCAAATCTCTATTTGCACCAACTCTGTGAGAAAAGTTGTTGGTGCCAATCCTTCCAATGCCTGTTAAGTGTTGTCCAGTACCTCTCCAACGACCTTCGTGGAGAGTCCCTTCGCCATCTATGTAATCGGCATAACCATTTGGTAGATATACTTTTTTGCCATTTTCTTCTGTAAGTATAAAATTGTGTAGAACCACAGTTGCTTTCACAATTTCTTCACAAGTGCTGAGGTCTGCGATAATAGTTTTTCTCAACACTCTCCACCGTTGTGCCACAATCCCGAATGCATTTTCTATGCACCGTCGTGCCCTTGATAATCTATAATTGAAAATCCTTTTTTTTTCTACCAAATGTTCTCCGGGATAAGGCCTCATTATGTTCTGGGGTGCAGTGGGAACGCCTGATCTGTCACCAAAAAGTGGGGTAGCAGAATGCTGCTTCCTGGTAGCACCTTTGGATTTGGTAGTTGAAGACGTTGTTCAAGTAGCGCACTACCAAATCCAGATTCTCTAAATACCATGCCATCATGGTTAGATCCGGCAGCCCCTATGTCCACCATATTAAACTTATACTGAGCATCGCAACTTGCCATCAGGACAATACTACACAATAAATTCATTTTTTATACATCTAACAAGAACATATTTATACCTGAAGGTTTTTTTGTAACTAAAAAACTGTGATCCAGAATGTTTGGGACTTTGAATAACTACGTGCTTCCCATTCACAGCACCAATGCAGTTGGGCATATTCCACAACCTGGAAAAACCGGCAGCAGTTCTCTCAAAATCGTTTTTTGATGGAGTCGATAAATAAATAGGTTGAAGTCGTTCCCAAAGGACTTGGCAAGTTTCTTTTATTATGCAGTGAACGGTGGTCTTACCAACATAATAATTCCATGCAATATCTTGCATGGACGTACCTTGGGATAGGAAACTGTTATTACATTAGTATACCATCACATTTATTATGAACTTACTGTAACGTCATCATTAATCGTTCCTCAGGATTAATAAAAATCTTGTTCCTAGGTTGTTTGGTCAAAAATGGCTTGACAATGTTTAGTAGAATGTGGAAGTATCTTGGGGTTAATCTAGTATATTTAAAAAATTGCTCCTCATCGTTGTTTTGCATATAAATGACCAGAGTGGCAAAATGTCCTAGTCGCTTCCGTTCACGATTAAGAGGCCGTATACCCCAACGCCTTCTACGTTTCTCTTTCATTGTAACTACAGCTGCTGCTGTACTTAATAAGAGCAAGGAAAATCCCATGCAGGTAATCAATTTACGCCTATTCATAGTATGTAGGGGAGAGCGGGGATAGTCTGGACAGCGGGATAGTCTGGACACTCTTGAATTTCGCGCTCATATGTAATATTTTAGTGTCAAACAATGCTAAAAGAGGGCCCCACCAGCTTAAAATGGTGATGTAAACACGTGCTTAATATTTACTTTCATTTGTGCAAATGGCAGCAAAATCATCTTTTTGCGTAAAACCGGTGTAATATTTGTGTAACTTTGGTGAGTGCATTGCACGTCTAATTAATTATTTATTTCAATTATATTGATATCCTAGCATACTTATAGACTGGTTATTATTTATATTGCAAACTTACAGTTCTATGATATAACCTAAACTTATGTTATCAATTTTATTAAACTTTATACAATGGGGATAGTTTGGACAAAGTGTCCAGACTATCCCGACGTTGATATTTAAGTGTCCAAAGTATACCTCATTGTTTGTGATATTTTTTATTTTAACAGTTTTTTGATGATCAAGATGCCCCGTACTTACCGTAAACTGACAGAACGCACCTTTCCTGAAAATTCTATGAAAAATGCAGTTATTGCTGTTTTGAGAGAAAATGTGTCGATCAGAAAAAGTGCAGAAAGGTACCAAATCAAGAAATCTCGTCTTTGCAACTACGTTCAACAAGCTAGGCAAATAGGCATTGAGAACATGTCGTTTGGTCCTAACTTTAAAAAGAAATTGGTGTTCACCAGTGAAATGGAAAAAAGGTTGTCGGAATATTTAATCAAGTGTTCTAAGATGTTTTATGGGCTAACACCAACAGCAGTAAAACGACTAGCATATGAATATGCTAAAAAAAATTCTCTGAAATTTCCTGATAAATGGGAGAAGGACCAACAAGCCGGACGAGATTGGTTGTCAGGATTTTTAAAACGAAACGTCAACTTATCCATTAGAACACCCGAAGCCACCAGTTTGGCTCGAATGACCAGCTTTAATAAAACGAATATTGAACCATTTTTCGACAAGTTACAACTATTAATTCAACGCTACTCTTTAACATCATCACAAATATATAATCTTGATGAAACGGGAGTGACGACAGTCCAGCGTGTGCAGAAAGTTATCACTAGGAAAGGGCTCCACCAAGTCGGCCAGGCTACTTCCAGAGAACGTGGCGAGTTAATCACACAAGTCGGCATAATATGTGCTAATGGTACAGCACTTCCGCCCGTTTGGGTCTTTCCTCGTCAGCGTTTTGATGAAAAAAGGATGATGCAAGGATTAACCGAAACTGGGGCACTCGGTCTAGTTTATAAGACGGGGTGGATGACATGTGAAAATTTTATTAATGTTTTAAAACACATAGTTAAACACACTCACTGCAGCCTGGAAAATCGAATTTTATTGATTTTAGATAACCACGAGTCTCATGTGTCTATCAACTCAGTTGATTATTGTAGGGAAAATGGGATCACCCTATTAACTTTACCGCCTCACACGTCTAATAAAACACAGCCACTTGATCGTACTGTTTTTGGCCCCTTTAAGACTTTTTTAAATCAAGCTTGTGATGGTTGGATGATATCTCATCCAGCACAGACTTTAACTATATACGATCTGCCACCTTTATGTTCTCTTGCTTGGGATAGGGCAGCAAATCCTGTGAATATAAAATCAGGATTCCGATGCACCGGAATTTGGCCATATGATAGGAATGTGTTTTCAGAAGACGAGTTCCTTTCATCTTCTGTTACAGATAGGCCAACTACTTCAGACACACCCCAAACTACTCCAGACATTTCTCGAATTACTTCAGAAACTTCTCTCATCACTCCAGTATCTTTGGAAGCTACTCCAAGCACTTCTCAAGCATCTCCATCACATCTACATGTAACCCCAGAGACTGAAGAGACCGAATTTGTCAGTCCAGAGGTAGTGCGACCTTACCCAAAGGCAGCTCCAAGAAAAACCAACAGACGTGGCCCACCAAAAAGAAAATCGATTATTGCAACAGACACCCCAGAGAAAGAGGATTTAATTAAGAGAAAAACTAAAACAATTCCACCAAAAGTTAAGCAAGCTAAAAGAAAAGTAGTTGAAACCTCATCCGAAAGCGAACCTGAAAGATGGAAAGAAACGGATAGTGATGATGATGACGTGGATATATTTGGCGATTTGGATGATACGAATTATGATAACACCAATGTGGAGGTTGGAAAATATGCCGTAGTGAAAGTTTACAGAAATAAGTCCACTGAAGCAAGACATTTTGTAGCAAAAGTTAGAGAAAAATTAGCCAGTGGTTATGAAGTAGAGTTTTATAGTAGATGACCAATGTATGTTCTGGCGCAGGAAGTGACGTCACACCAATACCTATGTATGTTCTGGCGCAGGAAGTGACGTCACACCAATCAGAGACGAGCTCGTGACGTCACAGCCAATCAGAGACGAGCACGCCCCCCTATGCATCTTGGATGTTATTTTGGACCCGCCTCATCGGTCACGTGATTGCTATAGACAAAAATTTTTTTTTCAATCTGCGTTGGGAATCGAACCCACGATACGTGAATTACGAATCTGCCGCCTTAACCATCTGAGCTAAGCGAGGCTTTGAGATATGAACGTTTAGCAGTTCAAGTATTGTTAGAATGTGGGGGGAGCGCGATTGCAGGGACGTAGAGGGTAAATCGTATGGGGTAGCAGTAGGAGCGGTAGATGCCCCTAGTAGGCCGTATAAGCTCACAAGCCACACAACGCTACGGAGAGCGTTGAGATGTTTGCGAGTTGTAGAAGGGTATAACGCGGGGGTGTGTCGCCGATAGGGGCTAGGGGCTAGGGGCTATTTGGCGGGGAAGCGCGTTAAAATGATTACATCGTATTCGATTACGTAATTCACAGTCTCTTTGCAATACGTTGGGGATCTTGATCCATATTTTCTTTAGTAACAGCGCGCGAAATTTAGTTGTTTGTTATTATAATTAGGATGGGAAGCTGCAATCTCGCAATAGTGTTTATTTATAGCAGCTATGATAAGACGCTTAAATCGTGTGCGAAAAATCTTATCTTCTTTATGCTTTATTTTTAGACGCATTATTCTAATATTACATTCTAATATGACATTGGTTTTCGAATATGCTTTGACGAAATACAATCATTACAATAAATCATTAGCGGAGCGGGTCCATCGATGTGAGTGCGCTGCCACGGCTGGTTCCAATGTTTCTTACATCGTATTCGATTACGTAATTCACAGTCTCTTTGCAATACGTTGGAGATCTTGATCCATATTTTCAATAATTCCTCTACACTTAAACTTAACAATTCGCTCTTCGTCTCGATATAATTAGACTCCTTTTGAGCCTCTCGCTGAGCGATGTTGGCAAGTATTCGATCCATTAGCGTTCGATATGAGGATTTAACGCAATGATTTTTAGCATACCTCGTTCTCAGTTTTATACCTATACCTTTAAGATACACTGCGCATGATGGATTGCTTTTAATCCCCTCCAAAATAGTTTTAAGAGAAGGTATAAAAGCAATAAGAAAGTAAGAAATCGATTTATATCGAGATGAGTGCACAAATACAACAAGAATCGCAAGATTCATGGGGTAGTGAAGATGATGATGATGATGATGCAAAGTCATCGCTTTCGGTAGATAAATTATTGGTGAATGAATCATCGAAAGAGGAGGAGCAAGGTATGCATTGAATAACGCAGATTGTGGTGGAAGCAAAAGATGTATGTTTATAGGAAAGGAAACCTTAATATCCGCATGGTCGCTATTCTTAGACGGAGGCATTATTCTCGAAGTTGGCGTTACACTGGACGAGTACTTTTTCGATTCCATCGTGCAAATATCATGTCCTCCGCATTATGAAGACCAGTATTTACAATTTGAGAGTTGCGAATGGAAAGAAATATTCAATTTTAAAACGGAACACTTAATTAAACATATGGTGCAGTGTACGCCTAAAAGAAGGAGCAAGCATGAAATTTTTACCCAGTCCAAAATAATAATACTTGAAGCGGAAGAAGAAGAAGGCGTTAGATGTATTCGAATAAGCGAATCAGATAAATCTATACTATTTTCCAAGCAAGCAGTCGATATGATATTTAACGCTTCCGAAGTGATTACTCAAAAACTGAATGTCGTCAATCACTATGCGATGTATTGTCTTTATGATGACTTTACGCGTGAGTTGGCAAAAATTCTACATACCGAAGGTGTTACTAGCGAAGAGAGCATTTTATCCAGAGCGAAAATCATATGCCAAAATCTCAAATTCTTAACATCGCTATGCAGTTGGAAGGAAAAGTATGATAATTTGCAAGACTTTACTCTTCTAACAGAAATTGTAAACATTCACCCTCGAAAATTTATAAATACGGTTGTTAGTAAAATTAGCATGTTAAAATAAATAATTTTATAGCGTAAAAAATGCTTTTTATTTATTCATACGTATCGATACACAACAACTTATTATCCACCTAATGCCGCATATACAATTCAATTTGTTTATCAAACTTTAAAAGTTTAGCTAATACATTATATAATTGCTCCAATACGCCTTTATTAGCACAATGAATATTGAATAAGGATAGATCAATGTCACCTGATTGAATTACACGACCTGTATATTCACTATATTTATGAAATTTATTTCCGGTGATAAAGTATAGGTATCCATCCATGTATTTGAATATAGAAGTTATCTTAGCCGGAATATCCGGAAAGGTTTCCGCATATATTAAGCGATTTTTAGGCCGATGACTACAATCATCCAAATCTAGCAGTTCATTTGCACCATGATAAATAAGCGTGCGTCCGGTATAGGTGTTAACTGCAGCATTCACTTTATGGCTGTTGGGAATTGTGAAGTGGCTATAAGGTTGAGGCCATCCTGGTAGCAGTTGCAGACTAGGGAATTGCACTATGTATATGCGACCGCCACTAAAGAAGACAACATCACCGTTAGGCTTTTGATATACCGCTTCCAAACGTTTAAAAGATGCCGGAAGAAACGTTAACCACTCAAGCAGATTCTTGGCAGGTTCCACTTTGCTGCTGTTTAACGCCGATATCCAAACCCAATGTTCATAAAACATATAAAGTCGTTTGTTTAGAATCAAAAAGTGTTCGATTTGAATGGTACACAGGTCAGGTGGTTTAATGGTCTTGCGAGTAGTAGTCTTGAGAGTAGGTGTAGTTGTCTTAATACCCGTTGAAAGATGATAAGTTTTATTCTCTGGTGAAGGGGTGGCAGCAGCAGCAGCATCAATAGGATATAGTGCTCGGATTCCGGCTATATCATCCTCATGTAGCGTGTTCATATTTGAATTGTAATAAGGAAACATGAGTGCATTTTCATCGCTCGAATGGTGTAATCCGAGAGTATGACCTATTTCGTGTAAGACAACTTGGAAATAACTAGAATAACCGGGGGGAGGTGCATTTGCATCTGCTACATGCCAGCGTTCTTCCCAATCTATATGCATTTCAACAACATTCTGATCTCTGGAGGGAAAGTATGCATGGGCTAATATATTGCCCAATCCATCAAACTCGAATGCACATTGCGGATATGGTGGTGAAGCGAATTTATGCTTTCGGGTATGAAATGATATTAATATGTCTGGATTCCTTGAGCTATATCTGAATGTAAAATTTGTGTGGTTCGCCCAAACTTGAAATGCTTTATCCGTCATCTGTAAAATGTGCAGGTCATGCATATTGGAAATATAGTAAATCAAAGTCTGTTTTGTCCATTTATACCGATGAGTCATATACGCTGCTGGATCATCAATATTTCCGCATCTAGGTCGAGACATGAGTTGTAATGTTTCGGCATTTAATCTGCCATCACTAGGTAGTTTATAGAGTTCTTGAAATTTCTTTAAAGCGTTAACGGTGATATTTGTACGATTATCTTGAGTTGATTCACCTTCACCAGGCTCCTTTATATATCCATATTTGGTGAGATGACTATATGCCATATCGATTTCACGCTCACTGATTGTATCGCTGCCGTCATCGACATTATCCGCAGCAGCAGCATTAGCACTAATACAGAAAAACCAGCTCAGTACGACAACTGCAGCTTGCATGATTGTAAAATCTATACTGATTCAAAATTTTCTTTTGGAGGACTAATAAGGATGTGGTAGTGGGGGGGATATATATTGAAATGAATTAAAAATTAGGTTATAAATACTTAATCTTCTCTCAACGACATAATGGTGCAGACTGTAATCGATGTACAAGGCTTTAAAACATCAAGAAACGTATATACTATAACCATCACGGAATTAAATGGGAGCATGGTCATACGCCATCCTACATGTTTCCAATTATACTTCGCCAGTTAATATCATCATCAGACCAAGTATACGTTAAAGGAAAAGAAAAAGCCGAGATTTTCATTATAACTTTATGCAGCATCAATTTAGCGACGACCGCTTAAAATTGTTGTACATGGATACCGATAGTTTAGTGTGTGAGATGTTATGTGATGATGCATACGATTTGATACGCGCAAATATTTCTCGATTCGATACGTCTGATTATTCTGAAAATAACATCTATAACATTCCAAGATGTAATGGTGAAGTTTTAGGAATGATGAAGGATGAATTGGGCGGTAGAATCATAACCGATTGGGTGGCTTTGGCTTCTAAAATGTATAGTTTTAAAATTAAGGATTGTGATAAGGATGTAATGAAATTAAAAGGCGTTAGAGATTATATTGTAAAAAAATAGATTAACTTTTGATGATTATTTAGAATGTTTAAGGAGCGGGATTACTAAAAGTGTCGCCCAAAGCAGCATCGTATCAAAGAATCACCATGTATATAGTATGGAGCAAAAGAAAGTTGCCTTAAGTAATAAGGACGATAAGAGGTATTTAACCTCAAATGGTATTGATACGTTGCCTTGGGGACATTATAGTATTCCCGCTGAAATGGATTTAGGATAAGAAAATATATCGAATGGATGTTCATATTTATAGTTGATTATATAATATTATATTTTGTTTATTTATTGTAAAAGAAACATGTATATGAAAATATATAAATAGCAGTTATACAAAATCTGATTTTTTAATCCAAGAGTCATGCGATTTGTCCATCCCAAGCCATCGAACGTAGAGCTGGTCTCCTTTGCGCCTCAAAACTTTCTCAATGAGAAAGATATCCCGATGAGCGGTTTTCTGTAATTCTTCTGCGTAGAATTGACCCATTATCGGTTTGGATAGTAAATCCTCTAATAGATATGTAGCGGGATTGCCAACCTTCACTTTTGTAATTTTAAATAATTCTGTGGAAAAGTTCGGAGTATAGCCTTTTGAAAATACGGATTTATACTTCGAGATCCGAACGTAGTCACCAATTTTAAATTTCGCGGGCCCCATAAATTTTATGTTGTGGAACATTGGTAAATATGTTTTAGAGGTTACATCCTTGGGTTTCATTTTAATCGTGGAATGCCTCGTATTGTTATATTTCGAGGTTATTTCCGGTAGCACATCGATCCACTTATATTTTCCTTGAAGACTAAATGCCTTGTATAAGGCGTTTTTCAGCGTTCTTATCGTCCTCTCAACTACAGCGGCCTTTTTCACACTATACGTAGAGTAATGATTTATCGCATGCGTTTCCGTTAACTTTGCAAACTCCTTATTATAGAATTCCTTTCCTTGATCAGTTTGTAAATTGACTGGCACTCTTCCTTCTTTCAAAATAGATGTCATAGCCTTACACACTTCACCGGCATTCTTTGATTTTAAAGGTCGTGTCCAAAGATACTTCGAATAGCAGTCTATTACCGTCAGCATGTATTTATTTCCCCGGTTCTCTTTAGAGTACTGTATGAATTCGGCTAAATCCGCTTGCCATAAATCATCGCGATGTTTAATAATGGTTCGTTTTCGAGGAAAATTTTTGCGAGCGGGCTTATGTAGCTCTTCGACAACCTCAAGCTTTGACATCTTACACTTAACTCGGAGGCTAATCGAAACCTAGCCTAGTTCTATGGTGTTTGTTTATTTCCTTTTCTAACTCCTCCAAATAATTTTTATGTCCGTCTAAGATTGACATAATTGTATTTAGACGCACTGCGAGAAAACCGCTGGTTACTGCTTCATCATGTTCCACCGGATCTGCTACGTGTCTTAAACGATTACTCTCCATGTTATACCGATTCATTGTGTACTTAGCATGCAGCTCGCTAATACACCTATCCACATATTGTTTGGTGGCAACATCGCTACCCCAATACGGGTCGATAACGTTACGAATCCTCTTATTTTGCATATTATAGTCCCCATCACCGGTTAATTTCAAATTAACTTTTGCACATTCACCTGTTGTCTCCTGATCACTGCGAATCCTATTTCTTGATGATGAATGACGTCCAAACTTGTCAACGCTCATTGTTACACTAAACTATTATGCCTTCTTCTCTGAGCTCCTCCTCAATACTTGAGATTTCATTGTTGTGACCGGTGTGACCGGCTACTCTCGATGCATGCAGCAATCTAAGACGTTCGACTAATTCGTGGGGCGTATTCCAATACACGTACTCTTTAACTGTATTGTTTACCTCTTTCATACCCGTTCCATAGTGCTCCGATAGTAGTGGTTTAAGGATATTGCGATATTTATGCGACTTGGTACCCACAATCTGATGACCTGGATCGTAATTCCTTCGGTAGCCATTAGTGACATCTAAAATTTCCTTATACACTCGTCCATCCTTGGAAGAAAATTCTTGAGGCTTTTTCAGTACAAGCAATTCATACAACCCTGGAGTACCGTTGTAAATTTTATCCTTTATTATTAAATTCGGTCCGTCAAATGTCACTTTAGAGTCTCCAATAGCCCACTGATCGAAATTGGCATCATATCGAAGACCATAAAAGTGATCAATGTCGCCTTTGGTATCTTTAATCATTCGTTCGATATATTGGCGCGGCAAAACATGATACTGATTTAGAAATTGTTGAGCGGCGTCTTCAGTGTCGAGTAATTGTGATAAGTTAATCGTTTCAGTAGTGTCCTCATCTTCACCTTCTTTCCCGTTATCATACGCTATGTTACTAATCTCATCAGTTTCGATAAAATTAAGTCGTTTAGCAGCTGCTGTGATTGGTCCATTTTCAGAGCGCTGTGGTGTTCGGAACTGTTCTTCTTCTTGAATTGGGGTAGATTCATATTCGATTTTATGTTCAACTTTCGGTATCATATTACGTATTTTGGGTTCTTGCTTAGCTATCTTTTTAAGTGGTTCTACTATTGGCTTATATGTTGCTTCAACCAAGCGTTGAGTTTCAAGCTCGCCTCTTTTTAGCACTTCAAGCTTACGCTTGATAGCATTGCGGGTCTTCGTCAATTTCTGCTTTATCGTTTTATCTCTTGCGTTCATCTTTATGGCCTACACAGATTTTCAAACTGGCACCGGTTCAAATAGCTGTTGGACCGGATCGCAAAGCCGATTGATAGCTGTTGGACTAGTTGGCAAAGCAGATGAACCAGTTGGGAAAGCTGATAGACCAGTTGACAAAGCAGTTGGACCAGTTGGCAAAGCTAATGGACCAGTTGGCAAAGCTGATAGACCAGTTGACAAAGCACTTGGACCAGTTGGCAAAGCTGATAGACCAGTTGGCAAAGCAGTTGGATCAGTTGGCAAAGCTGATGTACCAGTTGGAAAAGCTGATGGACCTGATGGACAAAGCCGTTGGATAGCTGTTGGACCGGTTCTATTAAATCAGATTATAATCTAATATAGCAGTCGAACCCTTTTCGATATCTACCGTAGTCAAAGTCTTTCACTATACAGATAAAATTATACTTATCGACCCAACACTTTGAACACATTAATTTAAACTGATCAAAGGTCATATCTGTACCAACGTGCTCGTCATACACATGTTTTAAATTTAAATAGTCTTGTTTGAATAGAACAATAACGTTAACATTATCGCGTATTAATTGTTTCGGTATCTTTGAATATGTTTGACAAAGATAGAATGAGTCCACCCCGGAATGTCGTCCTCTGCAGAAGTAATCTCTAATTACGTCTTGATTTAGACAGGCCACGTCATCAAAGATCATTATCGAATTCTTATTAATCTCTTCGAGAGTGATTACGTCAGCCTTATCGCTAAAAGCATTGTACTCAATACCCTTGATAGGTGTAAGTATTTGCTCCAGGTACTTGTACTTTGGCTGCTCTAGCGACTTTGAGTATACATACACGTTTTCAAACGAAAGGCCGTGCGGTGCTTCCAATAAACTAATCATGACATTTGTCTTTCCGCACCCCGAAGGACCGCAGATCACTGCTCTAATTGATGCTGGAAATAAAGGCCCATGCCTCCCCACTACTTCTGATTTTAGAAAATCGTGATTATCTACGTTTAAATGTTGAGGCTGCTTTATAAACATCATTATTAGTCGCTGGTTCTAGTTATACTAACAGTTCATGGCTAATCACCGAGTAAGAAAGGGGTTGATTAACACTTTAATAAACAAATTACCAGTAGAACTTCATATTCCCGGATATCAGTACTGCGGCCCTGGAACAAAGTTGGAACAGCGTTTAGCTCGCGGTGATTCTGGAATAAATCCGTTGGATGCTGCATGTAAACAACACGATATCGCGTACGGTCAATTCAAAGACTTAGAGCATCGCCATCAAGCTGACAAGGACCTTCAAAACCAAGCTTGGAGTCGCGTAAAATCGAAAGATTCGAGTTTTGGAGAAAAAACTGCCGCTTTAGCCGTAGCCGCCGCGATGAAAGTTAAAAGGAAGCTAGGAATGGGAGTTGCGCAACGCAAGAAGAAAGAAAGAAAAATGAAGCATAAGAGTTGCTCGTTTAGAGGAGGAGTTCTATCGCATGCTCGAAATTCAATAAGGCGGATGAAAGATGCAAGCATAAAGAAACTTGTCGATGTGAGTTTGGCCGCGGCAAAGAAAGCGGTTAAAGTAGCGGGCGGTAAAAAGAAGGTGCGAGTGCCGAGAGTTATTCCTATACCTAAAATTGGCGGCTTTCTTCCTTTCCTTATACCGCTATTTGCGGGCCTTTCGGCTGCCGGTGCACTAGCCGGTGGAGCAAGTGGGATAGCTAAAGCGGTTAACGAAGCATCTGCAGCTAAGAAGCAATTGGAAGAGAGTCAACGTCATAATGCCACAATGGAGGCTGTAGCGTTGGGCAATAAAAGCGGTGGAGCACTCTACCTTAAGCCATATAAGAAGGGTTACGCCTTATATTTGAAACCTTTTCCAAAAAACGACTAAACTTGCCGCGGAAAGCATTAACCAATTTCGATCTGCATAAATACGCTAAAAATGTACCGTTCTTTATAGGAGTATTCATGCGCAACACATTACCTCAAAAGCCCCATTTTAACGAATGCGCTATTGTGAACCTGGATGATAGCCAGGGAAGAGGTACTCATTGGGTTGCTTTCAAGAAACGCGGCAGGAAAGCGGTTTACTATGATAGTTTTGGAGACTTAGGCCCTCCAAATGAAATAGTTAAATACTTAAAAGGTTGTAAGATTGTTTATAATTATGATAGAGAGCAAAACTATAACACATTTATATGTGGACACTTGTGTTTAAACTTTCTGTATAATAAATAATTTACATCTAAAACGCTAGTTTTCATTTCTACCTATCAATCATGTCTCGAACGTTCACGCTAACGGGTGTAGGAAACGTGCTCAGTACTACGTATTTCCCACCAATAGAGCTTGACTCGAGTTTCCAATATGGCTTGGGATTGGTGGGATTTTACGGATGCAATTCTATACGAAATATATTCGAAGGTAATAATAAATTTTATTATACATCGAACGATGCAAAGGAACAAGAGATTACAATTCCAAGTGGAGCATATGAAATTGAAGAGATCAATAGGTATTTGCAGAAATATATTAACCAACCAAACGACTCGATGGATTTTATCTTAAGACCCAACAATAATACCTTAAAGTGCGAAATGGAAACCAAACACAATGTTGATTTTACCAAGACGGGTTCTATTGGGCGCATGCTCGGATTCTCGCCATCTATTTACAAAGGAGGTATGGTTCACGAGTCCGACTTGGATGTGCAAATAGTCAACGCCACAAATATACATGTTGAGTGCAATTTAACCGGAGGAGCGTATCGGAATAGTGAAAAATCTCACACCATTTTTGAATTCGACGTGCACGTTGAACCAGGCTATCGTATGGTCAAGGAACCCACCAGCATTATATATTTACCCGTACTTACCCATCAAATTGATAACATTACCTTGCGATTGCTTGACCAAGAAGGTAAACTAGTGGACTTTGGTGAAGAAAAAGTGACTATTAGATTGGAATTGAAAAAATATGGGCCTTAAAATCTTTTACAAGAGCGGATCTTCACTCAGTCAGGCTTCGCGTACAGACGAGCAAACATCGTCGGGTGCATTAACTGAAAACGACGTAAAGTTTCTGGAATATCTTGGTTACAAAGTACTCCGAAAATATGGAAGAAGCGCTGAAAAATCTCTTCAGTAGCGTAAAGTATGAGGATATGATTGTGGAATGCGATCGGCGAACCTACCATCCTTACTCGACGAATGCTTATGGTAACTCGGACGAAATCAATCTTGTAATTCAAAAGGCGGATCTTATCACGGCCACCTACGATAGCGTGATCTACTTGGAGGGAACGCTTATACTTCATCGGAAGCGAAGCAGTTCGAGTTGACCAACAATGCTCCACTATTTCTCTTCGATGAAATTAGATTTACGCTGGGAGATCAAGTGATAGAAATCGTGAGATTACCCGGAATAAACAGCGCAATCAAGGGATTTTGTTCCTATACAACGGACCAAAGTAATTGTTTATCACAAGCAGGATGGAGTCCCCGCAATAAACCTCTGCAACTCCTAAACGCCAACAAGACAGCCTTCTGTGCATCTATACCGCTAAAACATGTGCTAGGATTCGCGGAAGGGTATAAAAAACCATTAGTCAACATACGACAAGAACTAACATTAATTCGCTCAAAAACCGATGAAGACTGTTATAAAAGCGAAGCGGAGGTGAAAATTAGCCTTAGTAAAGTAACCTGGAAGGTTCCATACGTAATTCCTAACGATTCCATGAAGCTGTCTATATACAGTAGAATTGATAAAAATGTTCCGATCCAAGTAGCATTTCACGCTAGAGATTTATATGCGTATCCAGCATTGCCATCAACCCGCTCTTTGGTATGGCCGGTAAAAAGTAGCACCGGTTTTCAACGACCTCAATGGCTTCTGGTGGCCTTTCAGACTAAGAAACGAAACCAAAAAGGAGAGAATGCATCGCAGTTCGATCATTTAGGCGTCGAAAATATAAAAGCGAACATCAACAACAGAAGATACCCGTATGAGCAGCAGAATCTCTCCTTCGCGGACAACAAGTATATAGATGCCTACGAAGAATATCTAAACTTTCGGACGCAATACTACGATTCTGAAAGTAGTTCTCTTCTCAGTTACGAGGAGTTTAAGAAACAACCAATATTCGTAATCAACTGTACTCGTCACAATGAAAGTATTCATAATGTGGTTATCGACTTGAAACTGGAAGTTGAAACATCTGAAGCATTTGCAGCCGACACCTCCGCTTACTGTATAATTTTGCATGATGTTTTAATTGAATACGAGCCATTTACTAATATAGTACGTAAAATTTAATTTGCATAATTATGCGATTTTAATGTAGCTATTGCGAAAATATATAATACATTTTGAAAATGGTGCTTTTCTTTTCCCTATGTATATATAAACAACAAACTTATCACCAAACTATTTTATTGTTTCTCCTTCAGCATTTTCTCGGTTACATCTTTTACAAATCTTTGAGGGTGAATATTTACAATTTCTGCTAAAAATGAAAAATCTCTTAAACATGAGTGTGCAACCAACTTTTTTAGTAACTTAAGATTTTGACAGAAAAATTTTCCTCTTGACAAAATGTTTTGTTCATCGAACAGACCGTCCTTGCAAAGATCATCCGCTACTTCATCCGCAAAGTCCTGATAGTACCAGTACGTCGAATAATCGCTTAGAAAATCCAATTTTTGATGTACAAAATGTACAGCGGAGAGGAAACGATTTACGGCTTCTTCGGTTAGCACTATGGAATTGAATCCTTGACTTATTCTTATACCCCTACTACCATTTTCACAGTCAGCCAACGTAATTTTTATACCGTACCCTACGAACACTTCATGTTCCAACTGGTCGGTACTTTTAAGCATGAGTCGAATGTTGTGCTCGGTTTTAATAGCGGAAATATCGCTCCATTCGGAAATATTAAAATGCAAACAACTTTCTCGGAGTGGAGGGCAAAATATCTGCACCACTGGCTCGAAACTATTCCTCAATGAATTTCCCACTTCTAGCAAAGTTGAGCAATCGAGAAACATGGACCATGTTGATATTAAATCTTCTGCTCCTACAAGAAACAACGGGCTTAATTAGTAGGGTCATAATTATTTTCACCATGATCATATTACCTGTATGTGCCTCGACTATCTTCGGGGAGGGATTATCGACCCAAGTAAGGTTAATATTTGGATCATCATTCCATAAATCATCCATAATGTCTGCTATTCTCGTAACTAATGAATTTTAATGTAAATGTTGTTTGCTTTTATACGCTAATTTGTAGGTATACCGCTTTAGCACTAAATTCGTAATACGCGGTTCGGGGGCTCATCATACTTAGGGGTCGTTCCCTTATTTCAAGGACATTGACCGAAGCATAAATACAAAGAATGTAATATTAGAATAATGCGTCTAAAAATAAAAATAAAGCATAAAGAAGATAAGATTTTTCGCACACGATTTAAGCGTCTTATCATAGCTGCTATAAATAAACACTATTGCGAGATTGCAGCTTCCCATCCTAATTATAATAACAAACAACTAAATTTCGCACCCGCGCCGCTAATGATTTATTGTAATGATTGTATTTCGTCAAAGCATATTCGAAAACCAATGTCATATTAGAATGTAATATTAGAATAATGCGTCTAAAAATAAAAATAAAGCATAAAGAAGATAAGCTCATTTCCTTTCTAGTTAGCAATATGAATAATTATTTTTCGCACACGAGCGTCGTACGTATTATTTTATCATTTTAACGCGCTTCCCCGCCAAATAGCCCCTAGCCCCTAGCCCCTAGCCCCTATCGGCGACACACCCCCGCGTTATACCCTTCTACAACTCGCAAACATCTCAACGCTCTCCGTAGCGTTGTGTGGCTTGTGAGCTTATACGGCCATTCTAACAATACTTGAACTGCTAAACGTTCATATCTCAAAGCCTCGCTTAGCTCAGATGGTTAAGGCGGCAGATTCGTAATTCACGTATCGTGGGTTCGATTCCCAACGCAGATTGAAAAAAAAAAAAAAATTTTTGTCTATAGCAATCACGTGACCGATGACGCGATTCCAAAATAACATCCAAGATGGCGGACGCACGAGCTCGTCTCTGATTGGCTGTGACGTCACGAGCTCGTCTCTGATTGGCTGTGACGTCACTTCCTGCGCCAGAACATACATAGGTATTGGTGTGACGTCACTTCCTGCGCCAGAACATACATTGGTCATCTACTCAAGAACTTTGGGATTTATGTTAGATGATTTACATAAATAATTAAGGCTAGGTACAATAATGCACACCAAATGACTTAAAACTAAGAAATGTGAGTGAGGGTAGAAACATGTCCAATATTGAACCATAAGTCCTTATTTTATATATTTGAATTTTGAATAATTCGATGAACCAACAAACGTGAAAACGCAACTACCAAACACCAACAAACGATTGCAATAAACATATTGTGAAAATTTAAAAAGTGGGGGAGGGGGCGCTAACTATACGCCCAAATTTTTGAAATTTGAATAATTAAATAACTGTCAACCAACAAACGTCAGAATGTAACTAACAAACACCCACAAACGACCAACAAACGATATTGCAATAAAAAAATATTGTGAAAATTCCAAAAGTGGGGGGCTAACTATACGCCCCAATTTTTGAATTTTGAATAATTAAATAACGATGACCCAACAAGCGTGAAAATGTAACTAACCAACACCAACAAACGACCAACAAACGATTGCAATAAAGATACATATTTTGAAAATTCAAAAAGTGGGGGGCTAACTATACCTACTCCCAAATTGTGAAATTTGAATAATTAAATAACGGTCAACCAATAAACGTCAGAATGTAACTAACAAACACCAACAAACGACCAACAAATGTTCTGAAAATTCCAAAAGTGGGGGGCTAACTTGACACTGCGGTCTCGCCTTCTGAGAAACACATATCGTGCCTGAGGCGACTTTCTTAAGTTACTAATTTCGGCCTTCTAATGTATTAGAAGGGAGATAAAAGTGTTGTAAATGGCGGAGGTATTTTTATGAAATTACAGGGAAGGTCAAGGGATATGGATAAAAATCATGTTAAGCAGAATAGGAATTCTCACGTACGATACTCTTCATTAATTACATATTTTCTATAGGATCGATGTAGGGGCAAAGCCGCAATTACACAATTCCTACAACGCCTACTGATCCATTTGTGGCCTTGTCACGTTTTCTGACCTCGTGGCTTTTGTCTCATTTCGCATTATTCTATTAGGGTTGCATCTCATTCCCCAGCGACGCATCACTCAGGCTACAAATTAGTAGTCTTCGCAATGATCCACCCTACTGACCGACGGATCTAATCCGATGATCTCGTCTAACAATATATCATCCACGCACACATCTGTGTTTTGTTGACATCGCTAAATCCGGGGATTACTACGTCGTAACATTTAAATTATTTTACAAACACAGGTAAAATCTGCCTTTAGCTTTTATGATAAATGCTCCCGAGGATATACTTGTAATGCGTTCATTAAAAACTGAAAGGGTTGCCCTAAGTAAATCCCTTATTCAAGCTCCCCACGCCACGGTTTTGAGCTTCTCTTTTTACATATTAGGCAGTCTCGATACTTTACTTAATGCATATTTTTCTACAGTATCTGTTACAGATGTACCCATCAACTTCATTTCTGTTACATTTGTTTTAATTGGCATTTATTACAGAAGCTTTTTTCCTCTAACATGAGAATTATCAAAATCTATAATTGTGAGACAAAAGAACTAGACGCACTCATCTAGTAATTCATTATTATTTGTCATCTTATAAACGATAAACCCTGCAATAACTAGAAGGTGTGTTTTAGGAGAATTTTTCGAAAAAAAAATTACCCTTGGCCTTATGTGATGGTTTTGTCCGTCCCTCCATCTGTTCCTCGTGAATGAACAGAGACAGCGATGTTACACCTTCACTAATCCACCGATCACCATTGAATATGAGCGGGATTAAAAGTCGAATTCTGAATACGAGCTGTCAAAAATTCCCCCACTGAAATCGCATGCAATTCTTCCTTCTAGGGGTGCGAGATATGCAACGTGAACGTTTGGCGACGGTTCGCTAACTACGTTCTTTCGATTGATGTGTCGAACAAATTTTCTTATTTGTAGAGCGAAATTTCTGAACATTTAGTACAAGGCCCTTTTAGAATAAGCAAATTAAATCTACATTTTTATTTTCCGAACTTTTTTTTGATGCTACCATTTTAAAAGTCGAAAAATCGAAATTCAAAAATCGATTTTATGCCAAATCGACATATTAATGATGCAATAGTTCATTATAGTCAAAAATACATTGCAGATAAGTAAAGTTAACTTTATTTGCTTCCAGTGGAAAGAAAACAAAGTTAATTCCTTAAATTGAATTGTAAAAAAGACTATAAACCTCTTTCACTCCTTTACGCCTTAAAAAAGGTGGGTTTCTACAGTACATTGTCATCAGGCGACTAAAATAAATCATTAAACCTTTCGCACAATTGCCTTAAGATACAACTAGGCCGGTTGGTCATGAATATGGTTTCATTTCGAATGCAGGTGTACCACAAGGGTCCGTACTGGAATGTGATATACAGGGTGATTCCTATAGTACCTGCCACCGTTTGGGAGCGTATAGGGGGTGCCTAGGGGAGTATTTTGATATAGGACACTTGGGGTCGGAAATCTAAAATAAGGGCGCCAGAACCAAATTATCTTCTGGAATTTCACGCCTGTATGTAGGCAACCCAACCGACCGACGTTTCGCGCGGAGCGATGCAGAGCGAGTTAGCGCGAGGAAGCGACATGGGAGGGAAGGAGGAAAAACGACAGTCAAAAGCAATAACGTTTACAAGTGTTCAACGTGGCCACCGTTGTTCTCAATGCACTTCCTACATCTAGCCAACTATTATTATACTATTGCCATAGTGTTTATTCACTTGATACGCGTCGTTGCAGACGGGATTTCGTGGGGTTAAACAAAATTCTGATCAAGTGTCAGCCACACATCGCCGCCTGAGATCGCTCCGTGTGCACCGCCGGCCGGTTGGGTTGCCTACCTACAGGCGCGAAATTCCAGAAGGTAAATTTGGCTCTGGCACCCTTATTTTAAATTTCCGACCCCAAGTGTCCTATATCAAAATACTCCCCTACGCACCACCTACACGCTCCCAAACGGTGGCAGGTACTATAGGAATCACCCTGTATTACGGTGTTTGAAGCGGACTTAAAGCCTAGGGGTCATTCACTCGATGAGATCATGTACATTGATTTCGGATGATTTCGGATGATTTCAGATGATTTCATATGATTTTAAGTGATATCAAGTGATTTCAGTGTGACTTCAATGGGAATTCAGTGTGATTTCATTTTAAATGTTATCCAATCACATAATTCACATTTTGTATACAGAAATACATAAATTACGACGCACTTAGAATAATAAATACATCTTGCTTTAGGATTTAATGGATAAAATTCAATACAACATAGTTAGAAATTTTTGTAAAATTCTAAAATAATATTTAAGGTTTACTTTTTATGAATCTGTATTTTTTTAAAATTCGTTTCTTTCGTTTTGCGGTATATACCTACATTGGACAGTTTCCGGACATTGTAATGGAGCCATAAAAAAATTTTTCTTTAACATCGTGAATATCATCCTTTTTTGGCCACATACAACATGTTAAGTTTTCTTTTAAGAATTTAATTTTGTACAGGGTGTCCCATTAATAATGGTC